TACCTTTCCAAGCAGGATGTCTTTTTCTGAGGAATAGGCTCTACTAACATCAGGTCCAAAGTATATGATATGACGCTACATCATCCTTGCCCCTATAAGCCTCTGGCTGCACTTTCTCCAAGACATAGATTTGTTCTTTTGGCAGTCCAATGAGATATCCAGTACTCTTCTCCAACACCACAGCTCAAAGATAACAGTTCTTCTTTATTTAAGTAGTGTATGGCAATTAATTTATAGACTTCTGATTGAATAGTTGCTGATTAGTTTAACCAAATGATAGAATAAATCAAGAAATTAGGAGTATTTAGTCTTTTACAAAATTAAGGGTCAGACTTGGAAACTATTCATGTTTCTCTGGTTTCAAGAATTTAGCTATTTTTTTCCCAGCATTTCCTTTCTGGTGTTGGATAGTTTTCAAAGATCTCAAAGAAAACTGTTTTCCTCATAACCTGGCTTATTTTAGGAAAGGTACTTAATATTCTTTTGGTGGTGTAATGAAATAAGTTTTTACCACATCTTTGTTGTGTGTGAGGAGCTCTGGTGCTGTAGTCCATAGAGAGTTTTACTGCCAAGCCTAAGGTGGATTTTCTCTGTTAGTTCGAATCCACCAGCAGTTCTTTGAGGAAAAGATGGGCAATCTCCTCTTCTATAATTTACACACAAAACCCCACAGGAAGGTAAGCTGTGAGTCAGTTCTGACTCAGTGACAATGAGATGAGCTGTTGTAACATGGATAGTCCATGGTAATGATGCTTAATAGTCACCTCCTAATGCTTGTCTTATGAATTCTGTGTAACAGAGGACACATCTTGTCTTCAAGGATGACACTAGGAATAACCAAGTAGTAGTTCTGTTTAATCTATTGGAATTTCTCAAATTGTATATCTTGGAATTATTCCTTTGGGTTAAAATATTGTCTTCTAGGGGCATAGTTAGGGGAGCTCTAGTGGCCTAATGATAAGGAATTGTGCTGCCAATGCAAAAGTATGAGGTTCAAATCCATCAGTTGTTCTATGGGAGGAAGATGGCCTGTCTCTTCTCATTCAATTTACTGCCTTGGAAAAGCCGCTGAAGGGTCAGTTATGGGCCACTTCCGACTTGATGATACACAACAACACGGGCACAGTTAAGATATGCCTATTTCCCAAGTGTGGTCATTATTACTCCAAGTTTAACAATCCTCACCAACTCAACTGGGAACTTTGAAGGCCTAGAAGATTTTGCACTGACACCGCAAAGGTGATGGTTGTTGTTATGTGCCATTCAGTCGCCTGCAACACATAGCGACCCTATGTACAACAGCCCTAAACCTTGCTCTATTCTGTGCCAATCTTACTGTCTGGTAGGCAGTTTGAATCTACTAGCTACTCCAAGGGGAAAAAGATGAACAGTCTTCTCCTGTGATTTATAGCCTCTGGGAAAACTGCTAGAGAGTCAGCAATGAGTCAGTTCTGCCTCAATGACACTTGTTGTTGTTGTTGATTGCCTTCATTCGTAGTAACCCTATGAATAAAAGACCTGAAGCCTTTCTATAACTATCAACATTTATCAAAGTTCATAGTTTCTGGAGGCATGTTATAGGAAGTGGATGCCACTCCTGCTTCCAAATACCATCTAACAGCAGTACAATACATACCTTTGTATAGTGAACACGAAAACATTTCATATTTTTTGCATGAGGAAACTATACATAATCACATTTGGCACTGGGAAAAGGAAAGTTGATCTTCACATCCTCCTCCAGATATTAAATGCTCTTATTTCACTTTTATCATGAACTTTTATCACATAACCTCAACTCTTTTTTTACTCTTTTTTACTTCACTGGCTCTGGAAAGCGCCAATCGTGAATTATTCCAACCATCTGTCCTCTCTACCCCTACGCCCATAAAGTATTCCTGGATAAAATGAAACAACTGTGTAGATCAGGGCCCCCATGAAGTTGCATGAAGCGACCTCAGCTGAGTCCTCAGCCTATTCCATGTAATCCTTCTGGGTTCTATGTCCCTCTCCTCATCCTCCTGAATGAGACCACTTCTCTGAGGTCCCCTACTCACCCTTCATCTGTCACTTCCCCTAAATGATCTCATGTCTTGTTTTTTAATGAAGCTGCTGGCTTCAGCTTTAGAAATATACTATAAAGGTTAAAGATAGCACAACACTTCTTCTCTTTTTCTTCTTTAGGTCAATAATATGTAAATTAATTATGCTTCTCCAAATGTGCAATGAGCAATTCTTTCAATGCACATCAATATCAAGCATTCATCCAGTACTTGATATCCTGGGCTTCTAAGAGAACTGGGCCTGCGAATCTGTGTGTCTTATTCCTAAATACATAAGAATTAAAAGATAATGTTAATTAAATATAGCTAATGACATATAACTTAGACTCTGTAAGCTCTACATACAGTAGAAAAATAGGATAATGTTTTTTAAAAGGGGGTTTTGCAGGAGTATTTTGTATATATTGAACAAAGCAAATGCTGCTTGCATTATCTCCTATGTGCTCCAGAATGCAATATCCCAGAGCTCACTTAAAATTCCTCAATAGTGCTTTAAACATTGCTGAAGTAAGTGGTTAAGACAAATCATTCAAAAACGTATTAGCTACTTTCATGCACGGAAATTTTAAAATTCTTCTTCAGATTTTGATGTGGAGCTCAGCATTCAATGCATCTCTAAAGGAAATGATTCAGAGAGGCAATGACTTTTCTCCAGATCTTTGAATATTGAGATTGAAAGTAAATAATACACTATAATCCAAAATAAGTTATCAGTTTCATCTTGAGAATAGTGCAATTGAAGAGATTAACTGAATACTTACACTATTTTAAATTTGTCAAGTTATTTTGTATTTTAGTGTACAGGCAACTCACTTTAAGGTAAAGGACTTAGAAAAAGTATGCCCATTTAAAATGCTCTGCCCAGAATAGAGAAAACAATCATGAGACATCAAGAGTGAGACATTTTTCATTATTTCTTATAATTTTGAAATAGTGGCATATTACTGGTACTTTGCTACTAATAAGTTTCATGAAATTTAACACTTAAGCGTTAATTTGCTATGTTCTATAAGAACTTCTATTCTTATCACTATCTCATATAATAAGTAAAAGCTTTGGCTAAGGTTGGCATTAAACCCTTACTATGTAATTTGGAGTTTACAATAAATATAGTAGTCTAGGCAAAAATTTTCTTTTAGGCTTTTTTGTTTAAAATCCTAATTATAGCAAAAAAGAATATAAAAACAAAATTGGTTTAACGGTCTATTTTATTTGAAATCCAGAATGTTGGGCATATATGATATAATCTCTGTTATATTTATGCCATTAATTCTGTACATTATCAACATAGAGATAGAATGTATTTTAATGAAGGGGTTAATCTGTAAAGTTTATTTATTGGAAATTCTTTCTTACTATTAAATTACACTATAAATTATTTACATATAGATTTTTTTTAGTGTGTGCAAACTGCTTTAAAGTTGGAATTATCAAAATTAATTGTCTTGTTCTTTATAAGACTGAATTTAGCAAATGTTGCAGTTTAGCTATGTTACTTCATCTGCCATTACACAGTTTATAAAAGTACAAATAAGACATCTGACAATCCATAAGTCTGACCATTTAAGTGCTACCTTACTGCACATCCACTGTGCAATCAGAAAGTTTTAAAATAATCTGAAACCAATGTTAAGTCTTTCTGACTAGTATTAGCTATTTCATGATCTCTAGATTCTCTTTTATCTGAAGATGCATTAAAGTGTTAGTTGGCAATTGGACTTTTAAACATGTCTAAAGAGACCATTCTGCTCAAGGAAAATTGGAAAAGACAAGCAGCAAAACCAAATGAATCTATGAAATTGGATTCTTTGGGAAGAAAGCTGTGTCCTATTAGCATGTGAACTTTGACCTTGTGGCACCAGCCTTTTGAATGAACCGCAAAATCCACAGATTTCCTGTCCCCATATATATATATATACCACCTTTACTTTTCTTTAAAAAAAAAAAATCCAAATTTTTCTTTGGCAAAGTAAAATGAAGGGGAACTAATGCCTTTGAATGTCATAAACGGTAAACTCGTTTTATTCTATTGAAATACGTTTAATTTGGAAACACTTTATTCCAGTTGATCGCATGCAATCGGCTGTTTCATGCCTTGTTAAAGAAGATTTCGGTGAAGCCCTTAATCACTTTACAAATCACATATTTTCTCATCCCTCACCCTAAAGTGGACTATGCTCCTCTCGGGTTCGTAATGCACTGGCTGGCGACCAGATCACTGTGGGCATTCTTGCTACTGCAACAGGTGTTTGTCAGTTTCTTAAGTTGCTTTCCTTTCCTCTGAGGTGGTGTTATTTCCGGTACATTCCAAAGGCTCTGAAACAAGAACTTTTGTCATATCTTGCCAAACCAAATCATGACTCTGGCCTCAAAATTATTGAGAGCTCATTGTCTCTGAGCTTTTGTTGCATCAGTAAACAATGTGCCTCAGTTCCACACTCTGGAGTTTTTAAAACAAAAGTATGCATTGAGGGTTCTGTAAAAACAAAACTGAAAATCAAAATCTTTTTGTTGTTTTTCAGAAGCAAACATTCTGAATGTCTGGGAAGGGAGTTGATTATATTCTTGGCAAACCAGATGGGAAAAGGTTTCCATCATCCATTTAGACCACCCTGAAGTTTGACAGACACGTAAACAAAACAGTCCTCAAGAACTTGTAGTCTACCTGCTAATGTTTCCCCTAGAAAGGAGAGCTCAGCAGGCTCTATATGACTAAACACTGTACTGCAGAATTTAAAGAAGGAAATTCTGGTAGAGAAGATACTATCAATCAATTGCTTACTTAATCCAGTCTCCTTGCTCTCTAAACACCCCACTACTTCACCAAGTAAAGCCCAAACCCCAGGTAGTAGATAGCAGTTAGTACTGAAGCACACATAGACACTTTCAAATGACAACAAAGGCAATAAGAAAACAGAGGAGACGACTCAAACCAACCTTTTGGAAGTTTCTCAGTCCCACTGACGGCAACCAGAGTCAGGATATGTACCAGTGGAATGTGGACCAGCTCTCTCATGATTAATCCAGGCTCACGCAGGAGAAAGTTCCTTCTGGACAAATCAAGGAAAATACCCCACAGTTTACATTTTAAGGCATAGTTTGTTACAAAAGGGTCGTCTGCTAATGACTGTTTGTGTCAGCAGCTCCGCGGGCTCTAAGTATAATCAGGAATTCTCAGACTTGGCTATCATGATGGACACTGCCAGCTGGTGAATATCCACTTAGGCCAGTAATGCAAGTGCAGTGCTGGAGGAACAAGGGAAAGAAAATCCCTGCTGAATCCCTTCTAAGACAGTGGCAGAGGGACAATACCAGATGCCTTTTGCAACCATCCACATATTCCCTAAGGTAAAGATTTTTGATCTTCTGATTGTGCCCCTCCTGTGTCTATACTCAAACCTGCAATGTGGGTATATTTGTGATTCCTCCCCTCTTTCATCTCACCTCTCTTTCATTATATCCAGTCCATTACCAATTGCTACAGATTTTATCAGCTAAATATGCTCTCTTTTCACTCCCACTAGTATCATGCCAGGGAGCTCTGGTTGCTTTGTGGTACATAGTTTCACTGCCAACCTAAAGGCACACAGTTCTAATCCACCAGCTGCTCCATGGGAGAAAGATGGGCAATCTCCTCCTGTGAGATTTACTGCCTGTGTAAAAACCCTTGAGGGTGAGTTACAGGTCAGCCCAACTGACCAGTACATAACCTCAATAGTATCTTGCCATCCCAATCTCCTTTACAGACATCCATATTCCCTGAATGACAGCAATTGCATTAGCCTTGCCTTTAATTTCTTCCCTCTCCTGATCAAAAGATTCAGCATGTAAAAAAAAAAAACAAAACACAAGCATTCAGATCTTTTTAAAATGATATCAGGTCTTGCTAGCCTCTCCCTACCTTTTTAGCCCCGTCTTTTAGAAGCCCAGCTGCTTAGTTTAATACTCAGCAATTTGAATTGTTGTTAGTTCTCGGTATATAGTTTTCTTACTTCCAAATATTCATGCTGTTCCCTCTTCTTGGACTGCTTTTCCCTGCCTCCCCACCGACTTAACACCTATCACAGTTTGATCATCTTTTCCTCCTGGGAGCCTTCTCTGACCAAGGATCCCAGTTTCTCCAGCTGTGTTAGGATGTCCATCTCTGGGTTTCCCTGTACCATTTTGTGCATATCTCTATTATTGCCCTGACCATGATTTTTATGACTTTTCTTTCTCTTTTTTAGTGTTTTCCTCATTCTTTGACACCATCAGTTCACTTTAAAAGAATTTAGCTAACAGATTATACATTTTATTTTTTTCTTTTATCACAAAAATGTCTAACAATAAAGGATAGAAGAAATATTTATATAATAAAGTGTGAAAAAATATTTAGAGTAATGTTGCAGAAAAATATGGAATAGCATGGAAAAAGATTCACCATATATTGTTAAATAAGCACAAATGAAACATAGTTTTTTCCAGATAAGAAAGAAGAAAACACCTTTATTAGTATTTAAATTTAGTCTTTCCTGAAACTACCAAAATGATACAATGAGGCATTTTTTTTCTTTTTTATGTCATAAACTGACAAAGACTAAACTAACAGCAGAAGAGAAAACAGCAATGAAATGTTGGAAGCTAATAAGAACATGGATGAAAAGAACTGATTCATCAGAACCAATAATGCTGAAACTTGAGCTGACAGACAGCAGAGTAAGATGAAAACTCAGTTTACATCACAGACTTTCAGAGGACTCTGGAAATGGAAATGAAGACAGAACTAACAAGAGGACTGTTTTACAATATGTTAGAAGAGCCAGAGACAAAAAACCAAAGCAGAGTAGAATACTTTTCAAACTTTAAGCTGATTAATTTTGTATTTATCTTGCTTTTTCCAAATACAATGCTTAGATAGTTATTAATTTTTTGTTTGTTCCACATATTAAACTGGACCTACTAATGGAATATATCTTGCTAAAAGTTGTCATTGTTGTTGTTAGGTACCATCAAGTTGAATTCTATCCTGTGCCCAATTGTAGTAATCATTATGTCAGTCCACCTGGTTGAGGTTCTTCCTCTCCTTTTCTGACTCTCTATCCTTCCCCAGCATCTTGTCCTTCTCCAAGGAATAGCCCCTCTTAGCAATATGCCCAAAATGTGTGACGTGAAACAGAGCCTCATCATTCTGGCTGTACCCTCTCTAACACATATCTGTTTGTTCTCTTGGCCAACTATGGGATGTTCAATGCTCTTCTCCAATGCCACAGCTCAAAGGCATCAATGCTAAAAGTAAAGACTTGAAATCATTACTAATGAAGATCAAAGACTTCAGTATGGATCATATTTCAATATAAAACTCAAAAAAGCTCATAGTCTTCAAGGTGAAACTGACTCATAGCTGACCTTCCAGCAGATTTTCTGAGACAGAGGAGAAGATCTCCTATAAGGAGATAAAATAGTTATTTTAAAGTATTTGTTATTCATTTGCATACATTAATTTGTTTATATGTGTTTCATTAATGTGCATGGTTTTGGTTTTATTTTCGCTCCTTCCATCCACCCACCAACTCTGTGACCCCTTGATTTGCCCCTCTTCCATATTTTTATTTCCATATGCATCTTACTGGTTATTCTTCTGGTTTTACAATAATGGTCTTCTACAGTTTTTGTTCTTAAGCACCTGAGTTAGTTCACTCAGCATAATGCACTCTAGCCTCTCCCGTGTTATACAGTATTTTTCAAAATCATTGCTCCAGAGTACTGAAACACAAATGGAGATTTGTACACTGATATCTCACTATTCACGATAGCAAGAGCAGAGAAATAGTCCAAATGTCCATCAACAAAGGACTGGATTTAGAAATTGTGATTCATTCACATGATGGAATACTATGCTGATACTTTCCAATCAGTTCCCTTTGGGTTAACAGCACAACTCTCTATGGCTTCTTACTTCACTATAAATGAAACAAAAATCTTTACAACTGGGTTAATAACATCATTATAAATTAAGAAAAATTAAAGTTATTAACTTATTTGGGTTCACAATAAAAACCTATTGAAGCAGAAGTAAAAAAAAAAATCAAATGACTGATTGCATTGGGAAAATCTGCTGCCAAAGAATTCTTTAAAGTGCTTAAAAGCAAAGATATCAGTTAAAGTGTCTTTAACTGAAGCCATGATATTTTCAGTTGATACGCATGCATGTGAAAGTTGAATAAGGATGACTGAAAAAAAATAGATGCCTTTGTTGAGCTAAGGATATTGAAAATATAATTGACTGCCAAAAGAGCAAACAAAACTGTTTTATATGAAGGAGATTAGAGTTTTCTTTAGAAGCAAAGATGGTGAGACTTCATCTCATCTAATCTAGGCATATTTTCATAATGTCCCTAAGGAATGCTTGGCAATTGGCCAGCCAATCAGAGGAAAACCCTCAATGAGATGGATCAACATTTTGGCTGCAACATCAGACTTGAACACAGTAGAGATTATGAGGATGGCACAGGATCAGGCAGGGTTTCATTCTGTTGTATCACTATGAGCTAGAGTCTACTTGATGGTGCCTAACCACAATAACAATGGAATCTATCCCTGAATGATGAAATGGTTACTGTGCTGAGCTCCCAACTGAAAAGTTAGAGGTTCCAGTCCATCCAAGCACTCCTCTTGCCATCCTAAATTATAACCTGTTAACTTCACTAGTAAACTCCATAGTCATGAATATAGTTCTATAAGATCTTTGTGGCAATTGCAATGGCTTTCAGAGCAGTGAGAGTCTTGGGAGGGATGATTGGTGTTAAAATTCATAGAAGTAGGAGTGGGCGCATGAAGTGGGAATTCGTTTCTGTTGTAAGTGTTTTTAATTGGGACTGTTACCCTTTGTTGACTTAGTGGAAGTCAAACCTAGTAGTCCCCATGCATACTACCTTCAATCTTTTTACATAATATATATATATTTGTGTGTGTTCTATTAATGTATTGTTGTTGCTGTTGTTGTGTACTGTCAAGTCAGAACTGACTCATAGTGACTCTCCAGTGTATTTTCAGGGACAGTAAATCACATGGGAGAAGATTGTCCCTCCTTCCCCCACAGAACAGCTGGTGGATTTGAACTGTGGGTTGCACTTTTCCAGAAAACACCTGAGGAGTTGTATAAGTTGGATTACATAGTCCATGAAATACCAAGATAGATATTATAAGTGGGGACGAATAGCTTATAACGTTGGGGAAAGATTCTTTTCAAAAAACAGTTTCTCATAGAATGAATGAATAATATTAAGTTTATGTGGAATTATATTGAATTTTACTACATTCAACAATTAATATTATAAATCAATGGAGCTTAATGTCTGGCGAAGGAGTGAATATTTAAAAAACTACACAGATGTTGTTGTACCATTGAGTTGGAACCTACCCATGCTGACCCTCCAGCAGATTTTCAGACAGATTAATTGCACAGGAGAAGATTGCCTACCTTTCTCCCACAGAGCAACTGGTTTTGTTAGTCATAAATGTGTGTGTGTGTGTGTGTGTGTGTGTGTGTGTTCTGTGGAATATATTAATATATATAGAGAGAGAGAGAGAGTAAAGGAGCCATGGTGGTACAATAAGTGGTTGGCAGTTATCCCAAAGTTGGATATTTGAACCCACCCAGTCATTTATTTTGTAGAAGAAAAGACTTGACAATCTCTTCCCATAATGATACAGTCTGGGAGACTCTGTGGAGTAGTTGTACTCTATCATATAAGGTTGCTATAATTTAGAATCAATTCAACAAACACATTCAGAGAGAAAATCTCTGGTGTGTTACTTTCCTTTGCCGCCCGCCCCTGCATTTCTCAAGTTCTTGGATGACAGATCCTGATATTCTCAAAATGTATTTCTACACTGGCTTTACCTACCCATGTCGTTGAACTGCTTCCTCTAGTGTCCTTTCTTCCATTATCCATCTCAGTACCTTCTTTGCCTGGCTAGTGTTATCACCTGCTTATTAACTCTCTCTGTTCTCAGTACAGCCACTTCACTTCAGAGCATCACGTTTCATTCTCTCTCATGGAATGCTGCTTCCTTTGACTAATGCATCACTAACAAATGTCACTTCCTTCTCCAACCCCCAAAATAAACCTTACCATACAACATATGTCATTTGGAACGCTGAAGCC